GTACACCTGTGCCTGGTATGAATGCCAAATCCAGTGTCAGTGACAGCCAATTCCAGGCCAAATAATGGAATCAGCAAACCTCAGCTTCAGACAAATCAGCCTGACAGCTTCATCTCTCACTCCCAATTTCAAAGCACGTTACCAACCTCATTATCAAATGAGAAAAGCAATCAGTGAAAAAAATAGAAAGATGTTCACTCCTCTACCCCCCACTGTTCACGAGGGATTACGTTTACTAAGCTCATTTACAAATGGAACAGGTGGGAAAGAAAAAGAGACATGTTTTTTTATTTTACCAGAAGATGTTTTGAGGGGTTTTTTTAACAAAAGAAATATAGATATACAATGTTGTATATTAACCTCATATATATATATATATATATATATATATATATATATATATATAAAAAAACACCCAGCACGCCCCTGCGGGCGGTTTATCCTTCAAGCTCGGGTCCTCTACCAGAGGCCTGGGAGCTTGAGGGTCCTGCGCAGTATCTTAGCTGTTCCCAGGACTGCGCTCTTCTGGACAGAGATTTCCGATGTTGTTCCCGGGATCTGCTGGAGCCACTCGCCTAGCTTGGGAGTCACCGCATCTAGTGCTCCGATTACCACGGGGACCACCGTTACCTTCACCCTCCACATCCTCTCGAGCTCTTCTCTGAGCCCTTGGTATTTCTCCAGCTTCTCGTGTTCCTTCTTCCTGATATTGCTGTCATTCGGAACCGCTACATCGATCACTACGGCCGTCTTCTTCTGTTTGTCTACCACCACTATGTCCGGTTGGTTAGCCACCACCATTTTGTCCGTCTGTATCTGGAAGTCCCACAGGATCTTAGCTCGGTCATTCTCCACCACCCTTGGGGGCATCTCCCATTTTGACCTCGGGACTTCCAGGTTGTACTCGGCACAGATGTTCCTGTACACTATGCCGGCCACTTGGTTATGGCGTTCCATGTATGCCTTGCCTGCTAGCATCTTGCACCCTGCTGTTATGTGCTGGATTGTCTCTGGGGCATCTTTACACAGCCTGCACCTGGGGTCTTGCCTGGTGTGATAGACCCCAGCCTCTATGGATCTTGTGCTCAGAGCTTGTTCTTGTGCTGCCATGATTAGTGCCTCTGTGCTGTCTTTCAGTCCAGCTTTGTCCAGCCACTGGTAGGATTTCTGGATATCAGCCACCTCCTCTATCTGCCGGTGGTACATACCGTGCAGGGGCCTGTCCTTCCATGATGGTTCCTCGTCTCCCTCCTCTTTCTTGGGTTTCTGCTGCCTGAGGTATTCACCTCAGGCATATATTTGTTGACTATATGTGCCAAAGCTTAACTTAAACCACATGAAAGACAGCAAGTTTAAAAGAGTAATATCAAATAACACATTTTCATTTCAAGGTAAATATTTAAAAAGTCCACCTACTCTTTCTCCCTCACTGAACTATGAAGAAAAAAAGATTCTCAACTTAAAAACTGCTGGAAAAGTCTGTTTTTACCGTATGAACAGAGTGCTGCAAAAAAAGGGTTGACCCACTTCCTGATTTCTTTTTTGAATACTTGTCACAGTGATGTATTTCAGATCATAGCTTTTTTTAAAACTTATATTTAAACTTAAAATGTGGTTGATTTCAATTAAATGTAATTTATGTTGCATCAAATCCCAACAACAGTTTCCTCTAGGCCCTTTATATTGTAAGGTAAAGACCCAACAATAATACAGAGAATGATAGAGGCTGACGATCAGAAACAAGTGTAACAAATATGCAAAGAAAGAAAAGACACGTAAACGCACTTAAACTGAGACTGACTTTCAGCACAATGAAAGTTTTCTTTCTGATGATGATTTTAAAGAAATGTTGCCGTATCAAACTGGAAAGTGAGGAACAAACATCCAACAACAGGCACAACAATTAGTCCTTCTTCTCTTTTTGAAAGGAAAGAGACTTTAAAGTAATGGTAAATGGCCTGTATTTGCATAGCGCTTTACTAGTCCCTAAGGACCCCAAAGCGCTTTACACATCCAGTCATCCACCCATTCACACACTGGTGATGGCAAGCTACATTGTAGCCACAGCCACCCTGGGGCGCACTGACAGAGGCGAGGCTGCCGGACTGGTGGGCCCTCTGACCACCGCCAGTAAGCAACGGGTGACGTGTCTTGCGCAAGGACACCACGACCGAGACTGTCCAAGCCGGGGCTCGAACCGGCAACCTTCCGATTACAAGGCGAGTTTTTGTTTTGACTCATTAGGATGAACTGAATGATGCTGAGATAAGCAGCACGCAGATCACAGGTCAAGCCTACTTTAGCTAATGTGAAATAATGACAGTCGGAGTTCCTTCCTGAGCTCTATTTATCAGTAAGTATTCATGAAAGGGTGTGTTTGTGTTTGTGTTTGTGTGTGTGTGTGTGTGTGTGTGTGTGTGTGTGTGTGTGTGTGTGTGTGTGTGTGTGTGTGTGTGTGTGTGTCTGCATGGGTGTGAAGTAAGTGTGTGACCACCATGTAATTATGGATTTAGTGCACCCCAGGCTTAGTGTGACTCTATCGACCTCAGATTTGTTGGGTGGATACATAATGATGATATGTGTGTGTAAGCAAGTGAAGGTGCCCTGTGTGCAGCTTGTTTTACATACATATCGAATACTTTCCACCTATTCCCAAAGTTATTCATCTAAGCGTTACTGCCTCCGTGTGTGTGCATGTGTGTCTTAAAATCCTTTTGCTGACGATGGGAAGTCTTACAAAGTCCACACTGTTTACAGTCCCACGGTGCATTCACAGGGCAACCCGGCCAGTCTCCTAAAAAACATACTGGCTCTAAACCGAATTCACTGATATGCAAGTCAGAAGGTTGGGAACCAAGAAGCCGTCTCCCCATCAGACGATGTCTTCACTGAGTTTCAGTTTTCTTTTTTTAACTTTTAAATTCTGTTTTTTTTTTTAGATGGATAATTCTGCAGTTACACTAGAGAAAACAGTGGTTTATGATCTCAACATGACAAAAAATTACTGTAACCATGTTTTCAATGAAGGTCTCATGTTAGCTTTGAAATAGCTGCTCTAAAAATGGAGAAAATGACTATGGCAGTCAGTCTGCTATCAGTTTGCATTTAAACGGCATCAAGGTAGCAATTAACTATGACAAATCTGCAAAAATTACAAGTCTGTGGCTGTAGCAAACCACTTGCTATGTACATACACAGAAATTCACATTTCATAGAGATTCAACTACAAAATGACATACAGATAGTTGGCAACCAGTCCAGTCCTCTATCGCAGACGGACAGATCGCAGACAAGTTGTTCACATCGGTTCACACTGATTCAGATCGACTGCAAAGTGCTGGCAACCTGTCGATATTTATAGAAATACATTTGCAAACCTTAGACAACCTGTCTGAAAATGACTGCAGACAGTCCGACCAGTCACCAGACCACGGTTGTTATGTGACTGGTTACCTCCCACCACTTGTGCAATCACTACAAGGACTTGCATTTAGTCTTTGACAGCAGAAACATTTAATGCAACCACCAGGCAAACAGTAATTTGTCCTCGCAAGGAGCCCGCCCCTCTGTTTTAACTCTAATGTGACTGAGCCATAAGAAACCAAAGCAACTAACTAGGTTGAGTAAATCGAGTTAAAATAATGTTAAAATAGAGCCTTTCCTTTGTTTTTAAGTTTCAGGGTGATGAGCCCACATTCTTTTTCTAACACTTTTTTTTTTTTGCCTTACAAGAAACATTACTACTTTATATATTATATTAACATTTTTATTATAACACTAAGAACACTAAACAACTAAAAAAATGCAGGACTCTTTTAAAACTGATCCTGCACCCTCCGCTTTCATCTGTGCTGCTGTGTGTTTGTGTTTGTGTCAGCTCACGTGTCTCACTGCATGAATTAATAGCTCCACTGTGAGACTATAAGGTTGAAATACCACATTGTAAATTGTTGACATTAAATCCATTTTATGTTTCAGGCTGACCCAGAAAAACAAAATTATGGTTACACTTGCTCTTTTGCTAATTGGAGATGCATTTATTTACAGAATATAAAGTAGTACCTACACAGCTTTAAGCTCTGATCGAAGGCTCATCTAACTACATCTGCATCTAACATTACTCTAATGAATGATGTGCAAATCCTCCTGGTTTAGTTATACAATTACTCGGTATACAGTACAAGCAAACTGGATGAAGAATAAATAAATAAGCTACGTATTATCAGAAAAAGCTAAAGAAGTGTAAAATCAGAAAATTAAACCTCAAACTTGTGTACACCGTAACTTAGATCTGACTTGAGCTAAAATGAGTTGTGATAGGAGCTGAAGAGTACAGTGTAAGCACAACAAAAGCTAAATGCTAGTCCACACATATTATATTAAAAGCAGGAGTTACAAGGGAAAAGCTTCTCCTAGAAAATATGATCATGAAATCTTTGTTGTTCTCAGGCAAAAAATTCACATCTTCAAAAGATTCATTTTGCATTAAAAGTCAGATCAAACAGAGATGCACACAGACGTCTGCTTCACATCTGTTCGTGTCATCGACATCCCCCTGATATATGCAGAATCCTGTCTATCTACAGTTAGCTTGCTGGCTACATGACAAAGACAGGCCAGATAAAGTAGAATCGACAGACTGCTGCTGTGCCCATGGTTTCGCCTCCCAAGAGGAAGTGTCACAGACAAACACAACTACAGACAGGAATATTTTAAATCTCACATTTTTGTGAAAGGCAACTGTGAAATTTCTCCCGGGTAGCTCCACCATATTTAAAGTCACCGCCAACAGCTTGACAATAAAGACAAAAAATCTACCTGTTTGTACATAATGCACATGTGAGGAGCGACTACACTGACCAATCAGAAAATCTGTGAAAACATATTAAGGGTGAGTGTGTGTGTGTGTTCTGGGGTGAAAACAACTCGTTATTGTAACTACAAAAGAATTGGAAAAAAGCGAGGGAAATGTAGGAGAAGTCTGTGACATTATTACTCACCAAGGCCAGGCGGGCTTTCAGGACATGGTGGCAGTGGTTTGGGAGACGGTGTCTGAGTGTTCTCCGGCTGCACACTTGGCACCAGCTGCTCGCCTGTGGCCAGGTAGCTGGCTAATGTGGCGTTGGGCCTGGAGAGGTTGTAATAGTAATAATGATGTCCGCTCCCTGCCCCACTAACATTGCTCCTGGATCCGTTGCGGCCATTGTTAAAGCGACTGAAGAGGTCGAAGCGCTGCGAGTACACATCGAAGTACAGGATCATCATGATGAGGAAATGGAGCAGGCAGAGCAGCAGCACGCCTTTACAGATGCGCTCCAGAGTCCGGCCCAACATCAGCCGGGTCATGGCAGAGGAAGACGACTGTCCTGCGGCGGCCAGCCACGACAACGCTGACGTGGCCAGGTTAGGGGCATGCGCTCATCCCGACGGACATGTGGGTAAAATCAGGCTACTGTTAGATCTCTGATTAGGTTATTTCATACTCAACGATCTGACTTCAGCAGGGGTCATGGGATTACTGATGAGAATGGGCAAGGTACACCATCACCTACGCCTGCTTTTCCCAAAATGTGATCAGCCAGCTTGTTTCTGGCGTGTCCTGAGATTCCCTGCATGACAAAAAGTACTAAATGCTATAGTTTCTATTTATCACAGCACTCCTCGAGCCTGGTGAAAAGCATGGATAGATCAATTTAAACTACAAAATAAGGTGGCTTTGTGAACATACTCATATGAAAATGTGGTAAAGGGTTTAGTTGGCCATCATCAAAGTATCAAACTATGGCTGATGCCAGAATTAAAAGGCAGTCCACTTCAGTAGCTAGTGCTGCAAAGCTCTAAATATGTGCCGATACCAGAGATGGCTCAGATGTTCATCGTTGTAAAGAAGAAAAGTGTAAAGCGTCAGCTGACATGTCTGTTGGGTCGATCTCTTCTCACATGTCTGCTCACGGGTCCATCAGACTTTGTTGGATGGTGAACACGGTCCTCTTTAGTCTCGCAGCGTTAAATGTGGAAAGCCTAAGCGACCTGGAAGATAGAAGTTAGATAAGAAAGAAATACTTTAGGATGAAGCCAAATCATCTTAAGTTCATTTTAATTACACTAATAAATCTTTTTTCATTAAAATAATGGCTTTGTGCTGTTAAATAACATTAATATTTTGGCTTCTTATTTAAACAGGAACAGGTGAAGTGTTATTAATTGAAGCTGTGCATTTCGACTCCGTGCAGTGACTTTTTGTACCATTTGCTGCATAAAATCAAACTGGGCATCATCGATCTTCCGCTGGCATTTTCAGTATTCTGTGACCTTGTTCGTATTCGAAATGCCTGGTTTAATAGCAGTGAAATAAATTTAGGAGTTCTCTCTCATCAGAGAAAGAAGTACACATGGGGATTTGGCAAAAACAGAATCAACAATAAAAGCATCTACAGGCGCAAACAAACACCAAGCCTTGACTGGGGCGGTTCAGCCAAATTGACATGCCAAGTCAATTTTCCAGTCAAGTGATTTAAAAAGCATTTATGATAGAATGAGAAGGCAAGTGGGAATACACAATGCAATGAACATGTGAGCAAAAGGAGAGAGGGAGAGAGAGAGGGAGCACTTAGAGCATTCCCACAGGCCAATCATACTGAAGGTTTATAGCTTTTCCAATCAATGAGAGAAAAGGAGGAGATGAGGTTGAAGATGATGATAAAAACCCTGAAAGGCACGAGACTTTCTGATGAAAAGAAAAAGAATTAAAGGGAAAGACAGAGGCGGTAATAGATATCTGTATATGAATGCTGGTATTCTGAATGAACGTCAGCTCATAGTTTCTCTACAGGTTAAAAAGACAGACACACTAGACAATCAGAGGAGGTTTTGCATACCCGGAAAAATTATTCTTGTCCTAACAACTCTGTCTTCAAATACAAGCGAAAGCAAGACCATCTTTAAGTGAAGACGTCACTTAAAGAAACGGGAGAGTTTTATCTTTTTAATTATCCATCCGGTGGGCCCGTTTTACAAGTGCTCTTTAAATGACTGTAACTATGTTAGCATCTGTGCTAAAGACAAAAAGGTTTTGTAAAGAAGAGAAGAGAAGCATTACTGTAGCACAAAGCATTCACAGCATACTGCTGTCTGGACACAGAAACAAAGCTCCAATTAGAGTTTACCATGTGCACTTCACATTACCAACTCCTCAACCATTTTCAGAGCCAAAATTACAAAATAAGTCCAGGCGACCATATATGTCAGTTTTTAAAATCCAATCCAACATAACATATACACTCGTGTACCACTTTGGTAGATAGACATTTTGAAAAATGAGAATAAAAAGAGAATATATCCAGTGACTGGTAGTTCTCTTGGCAAAAATGCCTTGTTGATACAAGGGTTCAGAGAGAATGGCAAGACTGCTTTGAGCTGATAGGAAGCAAAGAATAACTCAAATAATTGTTACAACCGTGCAGGAGAACATCTCTGAACACACAACACATCAAACATTAAAGCACATGGGCTTTTTGCACTGGCAATAGGGAGTCCAAACCAGTACTAGTGTTCCTAATAAAGTTTCCAGTAAGTTTCCAGCAAGTCTAGAAACCTGTTTAAAACTTACATGTGGTATTAAAACAGGTCATTACTTACTCAGATGCATATTGGTTTAAATCAGAACTTAAATCAGGCAATTTCATTCAAGGTGATTAACTTGTCACTGAAATATCATGAAATGATTCTAATAAAAAATGACCACAGTGATTTCCAAAGGCACAAGATGGCTTTTGGAAATTCTCTTTCAGCTGAACAAAAACTCAGCGGCATTTACTTAACATTGAATAATAATAAAAAAAACATCTAAAGTTCTCAGTTTGCAAATGAGTTGTCATTTTTTACAAGCAAAACTAACTGAATTATTAATTATCAGCATATCTGACTGAGTTTCTCTTGATTGAGCAACTAATCCTTTCAAGTCTAATGAGGCTTTCAGACAGGAAATGACAAAGGCACTGCTGTGCTCTGAAAGCCATTATTTCCAATGGCTTGCACTAAGCAGAGCACAGTGCAGCACTCAGTAATTTGTACAGTCAAACTTCAGCTGAGGTTGGTGTTATGTATGAACCAAGAATTATTGTGTGCTATGCAAGCCATCGCCAGTAGGGGGCACCATGCCCAGTTATGTGTGTATGTTACTTCTGTGTGATCCCAATAAAGAAGAAGTCAACTTGTAAACAAACTGTTGTATGTGCAGTCTGACTCGGCATAATCCTTAATAGTGTATTGACACTACAGTGGAAATATAACAGTTGGAGCACTTCACGCTGTGACAAATGCACACATGGCTAGTAAAAAATCCATGCGGCGGCAGGCAGGGAAGGCAGAATGGTTTCTCTGAATGATGTGACTTGTGTATAAAGACCTTAAGAGGAAAACCCTTTCCTGGAAAAAGGCTTCAATCCAAAAAAGACATGCCAGGTGTGCACTCCAAAATGTTTAGGTTTCCCTAAACAGTACTTTGGTGACATCCATCCATCCATTCACTTCCGCTTATCCTTTTCAGGGTCACGGGGGGCGCTGGAGCCTATCCCAGCTGTCATAGGGCGAGAGGCGGGGTACACCCTGGACAGGTCGCCAGTCTGTCGCAAGGCTAACACACAGGGACAAACAACCATTCGCACTCACATTCATACCTAGTGACAATTTGGGTTATCCAATTAACCTATCCCCACAAGCTGCATGTCTTTGGACGGTGGGAGGAAGCCAGAGTACCCGGAGGGAACCCACGCAGACACGGGGAGAACATGCAAACTCCACACAGAAAGACCCCGGCCTGATGGTGGAATTGAACTCAGGACCTTCTTGCTGTGCGGCAACAGTGCTAACCACCGTGCCATCTCTAACTTTCTACAAGAAAAACTTTTACTGCCAGAAAAATAACATTTTCAAATAATGACCTGTCCAACTGACAAAGTTTCCAGCCTTTGGGTACGATGCTGTACCATCTGCTTTACTCTGCGTTCTGATGCTGACTTTTGAGGCAAAATGTAATAAATTTAAACACATGTTGGGTGACTGAGCTGATGGTCGTGGCCTGTCCAAAAAGCTGGCTGCCTTTTGTCTGTGGGCAGCAGTGTTAAAACTGCCAAGACCGAGCCTCGAGGGTGCGTGTTTGAATGATGTGTCTGCGAATGTGTGAGTGTGCGCAACCTGCCAGTTAATGAGATGGATTTCTGCTGACCGAAGGACCCGGACACTGCATGTCAGTCACATGCTTGTGCGAGCCAGGATTTATTTCCCAGTCGTGCTGCTCTTCAGTGGCTAAACAGGCCGACACGTAATGTATCGGGGTAAATTTTTCAAACGTGCAGTCAGGCAGTCAGACAGATAATCAGTCAGACAGACTGAAGAGTTTTTGCCCCATTTTCTGCTTCAGCTGCAGAGCTCAGGGACAAAAAGGTTGCCACTGGCGTCGAGCGGGTATTAAAGTGTTTGAGAGTCAAGTGTAGCGCTACTGAAAATCATCAGCAGCAAAACAAAAGAAATAAATCGGGAGACAGGACTGAGATTTAGTTTTCCCACGGACGACCGGCTGCACAGCATTTATCAAAGATCAATGTAGATAGCGTAAACATCACTGCTTTTGCTCTCTTGTGGGGTACAAAACAAAGTCCATGGGTGCTAAATCCATCTAGACATCGGCTTATTTATTTGCTAACATTTCGCTCAACTGACTTTTCTTTAAAGAAGTATAAGTTTGTTTTGAAAAAGGTCAGCAGAGCGAAACAAAAGAGGAAATGTGTGTCTTTCAGCCTCTTTTTAGCGCTTGTCTCTCCCGCTCAGCCCTTTATTATCTATCTCTCTCTCTGGGAGCAGAGATTGTATAGATGGCAGACAACGTGCTCACCTTCAATTTAATATGTAAATGTAAACTAGGGAGGAATACGATGACCAGGAATTAATTAATTACATCTCTAAAGCTCATAAATCTCAGAGTATGGAGATGCACCAGGCAGAGAGAGAAGAGACAGATAAAGGTAGAGACATAGATCTTTTATGTAGTTTGTGTAGCTTATTCAAGGATCCCTGAAACTCCCTTTTTAACAGCAGCAATAAATTTCATAACAGTCCCTGATCATATCACGTCTGCCAAGGAACCCACAGAGAACTGCTGTTAAAATATGTGAAGTAGAATATAACTGCTTGTTTCCATCTCTGTTAAGTTTCAAGGCTGAGAAAGATACTGCAGATGAGAAGGAGGGGAATATGAAGATCACTAAATCTACTATAATGAAATCAAAGAGGGGATGGGCCACAGACAGTCAAAGAGATTGGAAATGAAAACAATGATTAGGACAGGTGAGTTTTTATTACAGTTTGTCTCTTACTGGAGATTAGCAGGTTCACTAATCTCTATGTGAAGCTGCAGAAAGTACAACTCACTGTTAAATGGGTTGTGGATTAATTATGATACTGCAACTCTGAAAGAGGGTGTAGCTACAGTAAGCTTGTTGGATTAAGAGATGCGTTCAACAAAAGCGAACTTCCAACACCTCCGCTGTGATGTTGCTAAAATGTTTGTAGAGGGAAAACTTTTCACATTGTGCCTGGATGTTAGTACCAAAAGTTGTCTCTGGATCATAAAGCAAATACATTCCTGACTCGAGAACTTTTTTTTTTATTCCAAAAACAACACAATATCCACTCACTGGTGTAACTACAGGCTAAATCATATGCACTAGGTATGGGATTTAAATGCTTCCTCCAACAGTCCAAAGACATGCTTGTTAGGTTAATTAGTAATTCTAAATAGGCAGTCACTGTGAATGTGAGTGGGAATGATTGTCTCTCTGTGTTACACGTATGATAACCTGGCAACCTGTTTGGGTTGTAACGTATCTCAGCTAATGTCAGTTATCTGCAAGTGTGAATTGTACAAGTGATTAAGACCCTTGGAGATCCCTAAAAAAGACATCCACCTTGGTCCCTAATGGACATAAATGTCCATTCCCCAAAAAGTGCAATAAAAATCTTATGTATTAATA